GGGAGCCCAGGCGCGCGCCCAGCACGCGGCCTCAGCCCGCGTCGCGGATGCTGGTGAGAGACCCCTGACCCCCGGCCCTGTCGCACCGGGAGCGCTGTACCAGGCCCGCAGCAGAGGTGCGGGACCTTTTCCGGATCCGTGCAGCGCGCTGGGAACTGAAAGCCATTTTCTTCTCGTGAAAGAATTTTTATCAGAGTAAGTAACGAACTAATAGCCCGGGCCGGGGTTGGCGGTGGATCCAGTGGGAAATACCGAGGCCTGAATTACCTGTAGATTGGCTCAATAATCCGTCCCCCCAAATCTCTTGCCTGGCCAGTTATAATTGTTTCCCAATTGCCTGCTCTTAGCCCCTGCCTCCAACTGCATCCTCTACCCCCCGACCCTACCCCCTCCGCCGACCTCTACACCGCATGTCGGCCCACGGGCAAGGCCCCTCGTTCTCTCCGCTCTGACCACTCTGCTGTTCTTGGCACACAGCCAAGAGCACGTACCTGCCCCCTGGGTCTTTGCACTACAAGTCTTTTCCTTCCTGAAAAGCTCTTCCCCCAGATACCAGGCATGGACCAATCCCTCACTTTGCCCTGCCTTTCTTCAATGTCATTTGTCAGAGCAGCCTTTCCGGATGACCTGCATCCAACAGAAACCCCACTCTCTCCTCGCTGTTCCCCTAACTCTGCTTCAGTTTTCAACATAGTACTTTTTCATCCTTTGACATTTTTTATGGGTTTGTCCATGTTCCTCCATTAGTAATTTCACCAGAGCAGGGTTTTGTTCACTGGTATAAACCCCAGCACTTAGTACATAATAGGCGCTCGTTAGTTGTTTAATGCATGCTTATTCATAACTTCACTTTTGAATTCCAGAATAATGAAACTTCTATTGCCTGTGGTTTTCTTTGGTACTAAAATTCCCTTGCGATTAGAAGCTGAACGATGCACCCTCTGCTGTCACTTAGGAATTTAGAATCTTGGGCAGATTGTGCTTTTTCTTCAGTTTGCTTATTTGAACCTGAAGATCCACAACACTTGACCTGTAGTTTATTCATTTAAATCATCAGATATTACTTGACTGCATGTTGCATGCCAGCCATTGTGCAGGCCCTGAAGGCGGCTGGGCCCTGAAGGCTGCCCTAAGGGGACCAAGGCACAGCCCAAGTAATTCTGGGCATGAGTAAGATGGACACGTAACATTTGCTGGTGATTTCTTTTAAGAAAATGGTAACATAGTAGTAAAACAAGATTTATTTAAAATTGTTAAAAAGAAACCTGCTGCTTCTTCTTTTCCCCCCAAAGTTATAAGTGCTTTTTTAAATATGCCAGTTCAGTACCTATTAGTTTACACAATATTTCACTTAAATTCAAACTGGCTTGTCATTCTGATGATCAGCAGTTACTTAAGAGTTGTAAGTGCTGAGGATTTAAAGCATTTGATTGGACTTTTGGTTAAGTAATTACTAAGAACTCTTCCATAACAACTGTTCTGAGATCTGTGACCCCCTCCAACTTATATATGGTCTCATGGTTGTGACTAAACTAGATGACACTTTGGTTCCTGAAAATAATGGTACTTCTACAAATCCTTATCTGAAACCCTTGGTCCAGGTGTGTTTTGGCATTCAGAGCTTTTGGATTTTAGAAAGGAAATGCAGCATAAATCCTGTCTAGTATGTAATGCTCTCAGGAGGATTTGGGGGCAACACTTTATAATAGAACATATTTCTGCAGTGAAATGTATAAATAGGCACCACACTATGTTAAAGACACTAAATAGCTCATGCCAGTTTAGGGGGCTACGAATCTACCAAAAACCAAACAAATGAAAACAAAATAAATCTCAGTTTTCAGTGCTTTGGGATTTTGGAATTGCAGACCAGGAACACCATTTATCGAGGACCACCGGGGTTGGGGACTCTGCCGAATGCTTTTTGTCCGATTTACTCCTCACAACAGCCTGTGAATCAGGTGTTTTCAGGTCATGAATCAAAGGTTCAGAGAGGTGTCTAGCGCAGAGCTCTGTGGCTCTAAAAACCTCACTTTCTTCGCCACACTAAGCAGTATGTGAAGGCGTCGCCTTTGCTCAAATCCAGGCACTTTCAGCAATCTGCTCCCAGCCACCACCACTGCTCACTCAAACCACTGCAGCAGCCTCTGCTTGGTCTCCTGACTTCTGCGCGTGCTCCATTCCTCTTTCCATACTCAGTTCCCATACTCTGTTCTCTACATAGCATCAGATTGATCATTTAAAACATCAGTCCAATCTCATTACCTTTCAGCTTAGAAACGTCCTATTGCAATTGGAATAACATCCACAGCCCTACCATGGCCTACAAGGGCGACATGCCATGGCGCCTGCCCACCTCTGACTCATTTCTTACCCTTACTCCTTGTTCACTGGCAGCAGTCCCCTTGGCCTTTTCGTTATCCCTCCAAAGTCCATCCTGGTTCCTGCCTGAGGGTTTCCTCTGCCTGAGATACTCCTCCCTCATATCTTGGTATGATGGGCTTTCTTATCATTCAGGCTTGATTTAAATATTGCCTCCTAAGTGGGGTCTTCCTTGACCACCATATCTAAAACCACTTCCCTCATATTTCTGCCCCCACCTACTAACTCACTCTCTATCTCATACCCTTGCTTAATTTTATCATAGCACTTACAGCCATCTGGTCATCATAATATCCACTCCTATTATTTGTTTTTGCACATGATCATTTTTCTTCCCTCAGTGGAATGTAGGCAGGGACTTTTTCTGTCTTGTTCATGTCTGTATACTCAGTGTCAGAACAATGCCTGAGAGTTGATAAGCATTTGCTGAATGAACGAAGAAAGGATGCACAGAAAACAGCAGGCAAAGAAAAAGGAGATGCGGAGGCTTAAAGGAGTATTTAATTTTAATAAATTATTGTCTCATTCAATTGTACACCATCCAAGTGTTTGTCACTTACTACTTGCCACTGATTGTTGGTGATACAAAAATGAGTAAGGCATAGAACCTGTTCCCCGAAGAGCTCACTGACTACTTTAAAAAGCAGTCAGGGCTGCAATAGGAGTTGGACAAGGTGAAGTGGTAGAGTTACTAGCTGCCCCTTAGCATCAAAGAAGGTTGTGTTGATCCTCACACATGACAGAATTGCCTGGTAGAGAGAAGATGCAGATATTGCATTCCAGGCAGAGAGAAAAGCATGTGACAAATCATGGCGGCAAGGGTGATCTGGAGATATTTTGATATTCATTCATTCATTATTGAGCCCTTATAAGCCTGGTCCCTTCCCTCTTGTAGGTCATGATCTCTTTAGGAAGACCTTTGAATAAGCAGTTGCAATAATGGTGACAAGGGCTGTGATAGTGCACCAAACCAGGACCTCTTCTGGGGTGTCCGGGAAGTGACAGTTGAGCCAAGATCTATAAGAAATAGTAGTTCAACAGGCAAAGGAAGCAGAGGGGTTAAGTCGAACATTTCATGAGGGAGCATGTTGGACAGAAGCAGTTGGGAGTCAGGAAACAGCCAGTGTTGGAAGTTTACTTTTGAGAACAATTGTTATGTAGGTGGAATTTAAAGCCACAAACCTAGAGGTGATGACCAAGGTAGTAAATGTAAATAGATCAGAGAGAAGATCTGGGCCTTGGGACACATAATATTTAGAAGGAAAAAAAGATGAAGAAGAACCAGGAAAGGGACAGAGAAGGAGCCACTTGTCAAAAAGGAGGAAAACCAGGAGAGTATGGTGTCTTAGAAGTCCAAGGCGAGAAAGGGACAGGAGGGAGGAGGGAATTAGCAGCCATGTCAAATGCTTGTTGAAGGTCAGATGGACAAGGACAGAACTAACTATTAGTTTTAGAGATGGGGAAGCCATTGGTAACCTTGACAAGACCAATTTTGGTGACTTGTGGGGACTGCATAATTGGATTGGTGTTTTAAAAGATTACAGTGTGGCTATTAAATTTTTAGAAAGAAAAATGACAAGTGTTGGTGATGATGTGGAGAAATTGGAACCTTTGTGCATTTCTGGTAGAAGAATAATATGGTACAGCCACTGTGGAAAACTATTTGATGGTTCCTCAAATTGTTAAATGTAGAATTACAGTATGATTCAGCAATTCCACTTCTAAGTATATACCTAAAATATTTGAAAGTAGGGACTTAAATAAGATATATGTACACCAATGTAAATTATTCACAATGTACATAATTCATAGCAACATTTTTCACAATAGCCAAAAAGTTGAAATAATGCAGTTTCCATCAACAGATGAATGGATAAACAAAATGTGGTACTGTATATACATGTAGTGGAATGTTATCTAGCCTTCAAAAGGAAGGAAATTCTGATACATGCTACAACATGGTTGAACCTTGAAGACATGCTAAGTGAAATAATCAGGCACAAAAGGACAAAAGTTGTATGATTCCACTTAAATGAAGGACCTAGAATAGGCAAATTCATAGAGATGGAAAGTATCATTGGTTACTAGAGACCGAGAAGACAGGGAATTGATAAATTATTGTTTAATGTGTACAGACTCTCTGAGAAGATGAAAAGAACTCTGGTGATGGATGGCAATGATGGCTGCACAAGATTGTAAATGTGCTTAACACCTGTGAATTATACACTTAAAAATGGTTAAAAGGGTAACTTTCATGTTATGTGTATTTTACCATAATGAAAAAAATCACGATGGCAGCAGGGCTATGGCAATGAGGACCTGGTTCTAGGATTCTTGCAGCAGTCCAAGAGTGAGATGGTGATGGCTTGAACCAGGATGGTGGCTATAGACATCATTGAGAAGTTGAAGGATTTAGGGGTCAGGACTTAGTTGTAGATTAGAAATTAAGGAAAGGACATGTCAACGATGCCTCCCAGATTAATGACTTTCAGACACAGATGGATGATGGTGTCACTTTCTGCAAAAAGAAACTCTAAACCAACTTAAGGGATGATCATAAATGCAGTGTTGGGTCTTTTGAATTTTAAGTCCTTTGAAGACATCCAAGTGGGAGATCTGAAACTCAGAGAAAAGTTCATAAGTGATTCGTAAAGTTTAGACTTAATGACTAGATAGATGGTCATCGAAATCATGGACATGAAAAAATCATGAGGAGAAAGGGTAGAGTGAAGTGAATAGGGTCTTTGGACCAGGCCTTGGGGAACTCTAGCATTTAGTGCGTGTGAAGATTAAAAAGTCTTAGGAAGAAAGCATGACCCTGGAAGAAGAAAAATCAAAAGAGCTTTCCGACAAGAAATGAGAGGTCAACAGGGTCTGCTTTCTGTCTCCATGGATTTACCTATCCTGAATGTTTCATATAAATGGAATCATACAAAGGTGACCTTTTGTGCCTAACCTCTTTAATTCAGCATGTTTTTGAGGTTTATCCATGTTGTAGGATGTTTCTACACTTCATTTCAACAAGATTCCATGTGAGAATATACCACATTTTGTTTACTATTCATCGGTTGATGGACATTCGGTTTGTTTCCACTTTTTGGCTATTGTGAATAGTGCTGCTGTGAACATTCCTATACAAGTATTCGTTTGAGAACCTATTTTTCAATTCTTTGGGTATAGGCCTAGGAGTAGACTTGTGGGATTATATGGTTATTCTAAGCATAATTTTTTAAAGAACCATCAAGTTCTTTTCTGCAGAGGCTGTACTGTTTGCAGTCCCATCAGCAATGTAATAGGGTTACAATTTTTCTACATCCTCATCAACACTTTTGTTTTCTGAATTATTATTATTACTATTATTGCCATTCTAGCGGGTGTGAAATAGTATCTAGTTGTGGTTGTGATTTGCATTTCTTTAATGGCTAATCATGTCGGACATCTTTTCATGTCCATCTGCACATCTTCTTTAGAGAAATATCTATTTCAGTCCTTTGCTTATTTTTTAATTGGGTTGTCATTTTGTTGCTGAGTTATAGTTCTAAGAGTTTATATTTTCTGGATACTAGACCTGTATCATATATATGATTTATAAATATCCCATTCTGTAGATTGTCTTTTTCATTTTCTTTATAGTGTCCTTTGGTACATAAATATTTTTAATTTTGATGAAGCCTAATTTATCTGTTTTTTTTTGTTGTTGTTGTTGTTATTGCTTGTGTTTTGCTGTCATAGCAAAGATTCCATTGCCAAATTCAAGGTTATGAAAATTTACCCTTATGGTGTCTTTTAAGAGTTTTATAGTTTTGGCTCTTATATTTAGATCTATATCCTTTAGATTTTGTTTATAATTTAAAACCTTGCTACTCTCTTGGTCCAGTGAGACTCATAAACTGGGGTCATAATTTACCCAGGTAAATTGTCCTGAAATTGACTTTTGCAAATTTCAGAGGGAAAATTTTTGGAATTTCATAAGCAAATCTATTTTTGTATAGCTAAATCCTTCATAGTTTCATGAATTCCGTGATTTCATATATATGTATGTGTGTATATATGTTTATGTATATATATATACATGTACATGTATACTCAGCCTTTTCCCTCTCAACATAATTCTACTCCTGCAGCCTTTTTACCTCCTCAAGCAAGTGGACATACTGGCAATTAACACTCAGTGGAAGGAGAGAGCAGAATTAAAGAGAAAGACCCTTTCTTTTTTTGGCCAGTTGAGTTTTGAAAGTAGAAAATTTTGGAGAAATTAGCTTGATTGTGCAGTCCATGAAAGAGGGAGAAAGACTTAAAGAAAGTTTTCTCTGGATCTGTGTATGTCCGAGACAAATCATATAAAGGAAATTCTGCTTACCCCATGTTGTCTCCTAAACTGGGTTGGGAAAATCAGATTAAATATGTTCTGTGTGTGTTGCTTCTTTCAAACATCACTTCTGTTGTAGATTACTGGAGAAAGAAATGGCTGACGATCTTTCATCAGGTTTCTTCTTAGAAGAACTTAATAAATACCGTCAGAAGAACAATGTAGAAATTGAGTATCGTGAACTGTCTAAGAGAGGACCTCCACATGACTTAAGGTAAGATGCTGTTTAAAAAAGGGTATACCCCTGTAAAATAAACTAGTTTATAAACTAGGACAATGGCAACTCTGGCACAATTTTGAAGTCAATACTTCAGCTTGAGAGTGAAGTTGCCACAGAGTTCTGTGAGAGTCCTCTTGGCATAAAATATTAACTTCAGAGGACTCTAGAGAAAAAAGAAGGTATAAGCCTTTCTATGCTTCAAGATGATATGTTGTTAAGCTGTTTGGAGGTGACTGCTTAAATTCTGTATTGAACATAGGTTAAAACCTTGAAAGGCAGTCATAAGAGGCAGTGGTGATGGAAATACTTGTCCCTAGATAATGCATGAGTTTAATAATATTTTGTGAATATTTTCTTTGTAATCAGGTTTACCTTTCAAGTTGTAATAGGTGAGAGAGAATTTCCAGAAGCTGAAGGTAAATCAAAGAAGGGAGCAAAAAATGCTGCAGCCAAATTAGCTGTCGAAATACTTAATGAAGAAAAAGAGGTAAGTAATTGCCATTTTTACTCCGTACTGAAAGAGGACTCACAAATATATTTTATATTTTACTCTATGAGAAAATATCCATGTACAGAATAAAGCCATTTGCAAGTTCCTTTATACTCAGAAGTTTAGTTCAAACTATTTTCCTGTCTCTATTTCTGCAGAACCCTGAATGAGAGGTATGCCTAGGAAATAGTGGACAAATTGGAAAATACCTTAGATTGCTGATGGCAGTGATATATTCTAAAGTTGAAGAAACATTGAAAGGAAACAGTGATAAATGAGCCGACGTGCTGACAATAGTTCTTCTCTCTTATTGAGGGAATACAGTGGAAAAGGGCAAAGAGATGAAGGTGATTTGTGAGGAGAATGATGTATATGGAGGGCAGATGATAGAGAACAGACATGCATGTAATTGGTATTCCTGACGATGAGAACAGAGTAACTAGTACAGAAAAAGCTATCTGAAGAGATTTCAGTAGAAAATGTTTCTGAAGTAAATAAAGACCTGGCTGAAGATGAAAACAACTCAACAGATAACAGAAAAATGCGGAACCACCAAGAGCAACTTCAGTTATTGTGAAAGTACTAAGTTCCAGTGATGAAGAAAGAATCCTCGAGCATCTAGGCAGAAGAAATTATATAAAATGTAAAAATGAAAAAAAGGGGCTTTTTGTTAGTATAATTTACTTGTTCCCACTCTCTCCTTCCTGTAAGTCTTTCATTTTTCTACAGCAACTCAGAGCTCCTTTCTATTTGCTAGATTAGACGCCACTGGATTTGAATTGATTTTTGCTCAAATAAACTCTTAAAATTAAAAATAAATGAAAAAGTATCATGCTGGCCACAGCAACATTAAAAACCAGGAGATAGGGGAACAGTGGCTGTAAAATGAGATAAGTGATTTACATGTGGGACAAAAGATGATTATTCTTAGATATTGAAACTTTTGGAAAAATTTAGCTTTTAAGATACTTTCCTGAAAAATCTTACTTGAAGATGTTACCCTTCTAACCACAACTGAAAAAGTAATCAGGGAAAATCACAAACTCATACATTGTTAATTAGCTAGAAAACCAAGTCAAGAAGTTAGAACACTAGAAAGAAATTAATAACAAGGGCAGAAATTAATGTAGAAGAAAATAAAGAAATAATAAAGTAGATCAATAAAACCCAGTTATTTGTTCAACAAGATTAATAAAGTTGAAAAACTTTAGACAGGATTTTGTCAGATTAAGAATAAAAGAAGGTGCAGATAACAATGGAAGGAATGATATGATTATATTCATCTTTCCCATTAAACTGTCATCTAGGATATAGCTTTAGTTCAATATTCATTATCTTACTTTTTTTTTTGAAACTTACAAAGGGTACAGTAGCAAGTTAGAAAGTTTTATATAGTATTTTGTATAGAAAAACAGAAAATCAACTGTTTTGTTTTTCCTTATGAAACTGTAAAAGGAAAATGAATGATTCCTTTCCTATTGCTAGAATTTATTCTTGTGAATTTTTTCTGGTAGAGGAAGGTATATACTTATGTGTTGATTCAAAATAATATAACAGGGAAAGACATAAAATCTAAGTTGTCTTTCAAATGACTCATTTAGTAATTTTATCAGAAAAATAAGAGTTAAATCTTTGTTGTCATTTACATTAAACAAATTTTTTTTCTTTGTAGGAAGTTAGTTCTTTATCACTGTCGACAACAGATACTTCAGATTTATCCATTGGGAATTACATTGGCCTTGTTAATAGGATTGCCCAGAAGGCAAAACTACCTGTAAATTATCAGTTGGGATTAGGTGCAGGTGAACCCGGAAGGTGAGATGTAGTTCAGCTTTTCGTTTTGTATCATTGTATCTAAGTAATAGAATGGGCTTATTTTCATGTCTAATTGTCTGGAAATATTTGTCTTTTTTGTCCATTCTGCATGGAAGGTTTTATATGACTTATAAGCAATTGGCAATCTTCGTAATTAAAATATTAAAATGCTTCATTGTTGAAAACTTGGAATCCGTATACCATAATTAATGAAATCTGGGTAATTCTTTGTTTCTGAAGTATAGCTGGATGGTTTAATTTGCAGGAAACCTATGAGGTGCCCTACTTGAGGGATGCAGAGATCTTCCCACTCCTGAGGTCACAGTGGGAGTGGCTGTGTAAGGATGGCTCTGCCACACATGTAGAATGACTCTGTTTCCACCGTTGTGAGATTATAGAGCTGTCTGTCCAGGTGTTTGCCTTTCAAATTTGATTAAATGATGTCACTCTTCAGACAAATACCATGTGTTAGAATGAATAGGTTTTCACCCTAGACTGTGAAGAGATCAGGATTTGAGGAATCTAATGCAGGGGACACACAGGAGTGTCAGAGTAACTGAGAATATCAGTGAGGTAAGATTTGGAAGTGAGGATAAAGAATGGATTGGACTGAGAAAAACAGAAAACAAATGAGCGTGAGAGAGATTATTTCTCTCTACAACCAACAAGTTAAATGAGGGAGAAGAAAAAAATTTAAGTGTAAATAGTCCAAACAACCCCTTTAGAATACTGTCCTCTGAATTGACTGAGCTATTTACATTTGACTTTATTCTGGTGGCTTTTAGGCCAGAACTGGAAGAGAAAAAATGTGATAGTATTCCTTGGAACGAAATAGTCAAAAGTGAATTCTGTGGGTCAGTCTCAATAAATGAAGAGGCTGTTTTATTTTCCCATAGTTCACCTGTTTGGTTCTTGTGAATTTAGTGCTCTCACATTAGATTCCTAAAAGAGAGAAGTATTAAAATGTGCTTGGGAAAAAGAGAAGCTATAGGAATGATGGAAGTCACTCAGCTCAGCTCCCTAATTCTCCATTTAGGCCCTGGAGGAGAAGACAGCCTGGTTGGTTGTGTTTCCCTCTATGGCAAATATTCCAAAATACTGGAATAATTTTGTAGCAATATATAGTAACTCCATGATACTTTGTCCATTGCTTTGCCACCTTTAAGATAGTTCTTATATAATTGTCCAAGTATCCTTGCTTAACTGCAAATGTTCTTGCATTTGTTATGAGGAGGGTGTGGACTTGAGCGTGGGGGTTTTGTATTGTGTGGATTTTCTTAGGATTTTGTACACAGAAGCAGGGGACAGAGAATTCTGAAGTTAGAGAATTTACAGTTTCATAAGGAAAATCCATGCTTCACCTGTTCCCTACAAAACACTGTCAGTTCATTATTTCTCCTGTAGAAACCTTACTTTCTTTACTGAATTTTTCTTTCCCATTTAAGCATCTCTGAAAAATTCACCGGATTATCTCTTTTCTATCTCTACCTTCATATCTTTTGACCTTTGGGGAATTTTTAAAAATCACCACTTAATGCCTTTAAGCCAGATCTTTGAATGAAGCAACAAGGAATTAGAAGTTGCCTGAAAAATGCAAGCTGAGATGTCAGCCAGTGCTGGTTATTCTGACAAAATTGGTCAGCCAGCTTATCAAAAATTTAAATTATACAAGATATGAAATATAAATCTACCTATTAAATTAATGTTACTTAAAGACTTTGTCGATATATAGTTTTTTAAAGTCATAGACTTACTACTTTTTGGTATTTAGGTAAATACTCTCCATCATTTCTCCTAGATTTTATTATACATGCATAATTGGACAGAAAAAATACAACGTTGCTGTGGGTTCTACTAAGCAGAAGGCAAAACAACTGGCTGCTAAACTCGCATATGAACAGATACTATCAGCAAAAACCTCAGTGGTATGCACTGCTTTTGGATTTTTTTGTATTTTAAAATCCTCTCTGAAGTTGATTTGAGAATTGACTGTGTTCACATGATTTTAAAACAGCCATTCACATAGCAAAAGGATTCCTGGATTCTGTGTCTCACCAGTGAGGCATGTATTAATCTCATGTTTGTTTATGGCTGTGAATTTGGCAAATGTGGGGAAATAAATGTGGTAGGTAGTACATAGAGACTGAGCCACTATGAAGAAGTTATTTAGTTGTACTTAAACCACCTGAGAGGCTTTCTTTCTTTCCAAAGGATGACTTAGCTTCTCTTGGTTCTCCCTCTGCTGCGTCCAGTGACTATGGAAGTAACTCTTCAATGACAAACATGTGGTAAGTATATACAAACAACTGTGATATTTAAGAAATTCAAATCGCTTCCTGAAAGAGCAAGTTTTCTATGAAATTGTTTAAAGTTTAAAGAGAATTTAGAGAAATTACTGATCAATAAAAAATGGTCAGACTTCATAAACTAATAGTTATCCTCTTTTCTTTTAGTGATTCTGAGTCACCATGTGAAAATGGCTTTTTAGCAAATGGCTCAGAAAGAAATGATAACAGCGACAGTTTTAGCAATTTGTCTTCACCTTCTGTGGTATAGTATTCATCTCGGCTTCCCAGTTACTCTTATTTTCCTTTGTGCTTCCTCATTTAAAAATGACCTTCTATACCCACCATAATTTTTCGAGTTTTTATTTCATGGGCTCTTACTAAATAATAATTTGGCGGCCCTTGACTCTCTCCTTTTATTGTTTACCCCCATCTCTCGCATGCAGAATTCTCCCACTTTTCACTCCCATCTTTCTCTCCCTGCTAACCTTCAAATTTTCATGTATTTCTGTGATCTGATCTTCTACCAATTGGACAGTACTTAAAAGGTTGACTAATATAGCTCTGCTTCTGTTTTTAGAAAGTCAGAACTAAATTTACAATTAAAACTAAACTTAAGAATCAGATAATTTTTGTAGAGCAAGAAACATATGAAAAGATGATTTAACTCATAGCAAACAGGAAAATGCAAATCAGAACAATAGTTAGATACTGGTTTAAACCCATCAGATTGGCAAAATTTGAGTCTGGTGATACTCAGTGTTGGCACAGCTATAGCTATTATACTCTCCTGGTGGAAATGTCAATCAGTACTGCCAAGGAGTTCCATTACTGGGACTGTCTCCTAGAGAAACATTCGCATGTGTGTACAGAAAAACATGTATAAGAATATTCTTTGCAACACTATTTATAATAGGAAAAAATTAGAAAAGAATATTGCTCATTAGCAGAATGGCTAAATTAATCCGTAGCTTAGTTACCATGCACTACAGAGGCTGACAGGTGATATGAGCTCAAGAAATCTGAGTCTGATATTTCCCACTCTGTATCAACATATTTAAATTGGTAAATACACACACACACACAATCAGAATAAAAGTGAATATGAATGAAGAATAGCTATGTGAAATTAATTTTTTGCTAAAAATTAAAATTAAATTATTAATTTGTGCTAAAAGTGAATATATCTGCTTTGCCGTTTTTAACTGGTGATCTGATCAGAAACCCAAGAGACATTATTTTAAACTAGACCCTTGGGCTCCATATGTGTCTTACTAGCACTGTGAATAATTGGGATGCACACCGTGTTGAGATCTGCTGGCCAGAGGATCACCCAGGGAAGCCATATTCTGTACCTGGAAAATCAGTACTTCTGCAGAACATGCCCTATAATTGTCTTTTTTGTCCTTCCTGCCATATCTTTTCAATTGCTATAAGAGATGAGAACATTGACATAACCAGGTAAACTGAGAAGCAATGCTTGATGAGAATACAAAAATTGATGAGGCCATTAATCTTATGGACAAAGAAATGTGGTCAAAGAACCAGCTAAAAGTACAGAGGGAAGAATAACAAGAAAAAAACAATATGATTGATTTAATCATCCGAAATTCTTTTTCCATTCTCTTTTGTTACAGAGCAGTGTTAGAAGAAGTCTTGGGAAGACGAAAATGTGAGTATCATTATGCATTGAATGTATTTTGAAATGAAGTTATCTTTCAGACTTTGTCTGCCTTCTTTATTAAGTCTTCTGTATTTGTCAAGTATTGTACACCCTCATTTGGATGGAGTTTCAAAAGTAGAAAGCATGGTTAAGGACTACAAAAAGCTTGAAATCTTCAAATGAATAGTTTTAAAAATATAGAGAAATATTTGGAAGTATGAACATACTACACTGTAGACGTAAAGGCCTATGGGAGTGTTGCTACAATAATTGGTTAAGGAAATGGACTTGGAGAGATGTTTCCAAGAGAAGATAAACAGGTAGGGTAGAAATGGTGTAATAATAACCTGGGTAAGAAGAAAGAAGGTCAAACATTATGTAAATTATGGTGAATTGGTTTCTTCCATTGAAGTGAAAAGCAAGAATGTAAATATAGTCAGCAATGAAAGTGAGATGGCAGCAGGGACCATTTTGAGCTATGAGCATATTCTGAACAGTAGACAACGTGTTGAGGAAAGATGATTCTTGATGTGGGTGTTTGGGTGGAGACAAGAGAGGTCTGCATGTGAGATGATCAGGTCATCAGCTGTGATTATAGTGGCAGAGAGGAGGGATGAGGAGAATTTGTGGGACAGACTGCAAAGGAAGAGTAGATACGACTTGAGGGAATAGAGTTACGGTAACTGGATGAAGAAGCAAAGGAGAAAGGATTTGAAGATTGTTTTTTATGGATGGGATACAGATAATAATCATGGCACTGGTAGTGATAAGGAAGTTGAAATTTGAGGGCTTAGAGGGAAGATAGCAACTAGTTTTAGGTGGTGTTTGAACTTTTAATTGCAGGTGGCTTACCACCTGTAAAGAATAAAGCACAAAGGAAGAAAGACCAGGACAAGAGTACAAGGAGATAGATGTCCTGAGGTTCTAGAGCGAGAAAAGGAAATGAATGTATTAAGGCAAAAAAACCCAAAAAACAAAAAAAAAACAAAAACAAAAAATGGAAAGGAATGAAAAATTATTAGAGAACAGAAGGGAACCCTAAGCACATCATTTTTATAAAGAAAAAGATTAACACTTGCTATTCTTGTTTTAATAGTTGACTTAAAATATAAAATGCCTGGTACATAGCATAAAATCCAGTCTAAACAAGTTATATTTGATTTCAGTTTTATTTGAGCTTTACATTCTTCTCTTAAGTTTTAGAAATTTGGCACCTAATTTTAACTTGGTTGGAGCAGCAAGAAATGAGTACACTATGGACCACAGGTAAGAGGGAACCGTGAAACGGAATTTGCTCAAAGATGTGTTTGCGAATTTGCCAAAAGTTTCATAAGGGACTGTTGTACATCAGACAGGTTACATTATATTTCTACTTGAACAGTTTAGTTGTTTTAGCACAATTAGGCCCACAAAGGATCATTGTCACTTGGAAAAGTAAAGTTTATACAAATCTACATAGAATGTGGTAATGTAGATCTAGGTGATGCTTACATAGATTTCTGTGACATCTGTGGAAGTTTTAATAATGAAAGCAAATATTCTTATAAATCAGTAATTTTTTCTTCCCAAAAAGAGTACTTCCGAAGGCATCAGAATAGATCCACTTGAGTCTGTTTTGCATTTTCCAGCTTCATATCAGATTTCCCTTTGAAAAAGGATTGCTTTTATGTTAGATCATGCGTTTGGGTTTAAATAAAGTATCTAAAACGAAGACGGGCTATTTGCAACGGGGACATTGAATATAAGTTTTAAAAAACACAGTACAGAACCAATAGATATTGAATAAGTACCCAATATATAGCTGGCACTGCACTGGGCATTGGATCTATAGTATGAGCAAATAGGACAGCTCCTGCATTCATAGACTTTTGTGGAGATAATTACATGACAAAGTCTGTAATTACAAACTGTGGTCAGAGGCCTGAAAGATGAGGCAGTACAGGGAAGTGGGGGACCCTGGGGCTCTGCAAACGAAGAGCATTTGGAAGGCGAAGATGCGACAGGTAATGGGAGTGTTCAGGGAGCAGAGAGAAGGTTGTGTGCATGGAGTGCAGCAAACAAGGGCACGGTGCTAGGAGAGGGAGGCAGGGGCCAAATCACATGGGCCCTTGTAAGCCATTTAAGGGCTTTCTGGTTTTTGCTGAATGCAAAGCTAGGCTATTTGGCAATTAGGCAGTAAAGAGACATAATCAGACCAAGTTTTTCTCCTACTGGTTGCTGTGCGGATCATGGATTGAAGTGGAGTTAGAGACGAAGTGGAGTGTCTGGTTAGCAAGGTCCCGCAAGAACCTGATGGAAGCTGGGACTGGTGTGACGATGTCAGGGATGGGAAAAGTGGGTGGATACCAGCAATTCGTTTTAGAAGTAGAATCGGCAGGGCTTTGTGATGGAAGGTGGAGTCTGAGGGAGAGAAGAAAACCAGGTAGTCACAAGCCTAGACAGGTTCAGAGCGCCTGCTCATTTCTCATAACAGCTTGGTGGTAGCTGTAGAACACAATATGGTGCTTCTTTCTAAAGTTTTGTACTTGTAGTAAGACTCTTTGTCATGGCTATTGTACAGCCAGGAGTTGACTGTGCCTCCCAAGGGTGATCTGTTATGTTGGGAGGAGGAGGGTGAGGAACTACCCTTTGTGATTCAAGAGTTTCTGTGAAATGGGCCTTTCTTACTCAGAAGGGGGGAAGATCTTGTTTGTTATACAGTCCATGTCCATTTTACCAGTGACATTAAGGGAAAGTGGAAGGGGTGGGGGCCAGCTAGCATTGGACCTTAGAATAACAGTGGCATTTTTCTTTTTAAGGTTTCTCGAGAATTTTCTAGAGATAACATCAATTGGCTCAGGTGGATATGGCCAAGTGTTCAAAGCAAAACACAGAATTGATGGGGTGACTTATGTTATTAAACGTGTTAAATATGATAACGAGTAAGTAGTAACTGTTTTATTTTTTTTTTAATGAGAAGGTATGTTGAGCCTGCACTATTTTTTATGTATCGCTCTTCCTCATTAGTGTATTATTTACTTTTTTTACGGTCCTCCTTAAAAATGTTATTCTACCATCAGACACTTGGCTTACTCTGAAATGATTTCACTTTACCACAGTTATTTCAATAGAAAATGGATATACCGTTGACCATTCTTTTAAAGCTGTCTTGATGAAAACTGAAGTTATAGACTCATTTAGCTTAAGGTGACCTTTGAGATTTTCTAGTCTCATCTCCTTATATTACAGATGAGGAGACTGAGATCCAAAGATGTAAACTGATTTTTCAAAGGTAAAGATAGTTGGGAATTGTTCTGGTGATCTATTATTGCATAATATACCATCCCCAAAATGGCTTGAAAACAACAGGTTATTATTATCAGTCATGGCCTCGTGAGTTGGTTGTGTTCATCTGGGCCATTCTCACTTGGGGTTTGTCATGCATTTGCAATCAGGAGTCTTCTGAAGCCTTGATGAGGTTGGACATCTAAGATGGTTCTCTCACATGGCTAGCAGATGATGCTGGCTGTGGACTGGAAGTTCAGCTGGGACTGTTAACCAGAATGTCTTTATGTGGCCTCTTTGTGTAGCCCTGGCTTCTTACAGCTTAGTGGCTGATTCCTAAGAAGGATTGTCCCCAGAGCAAATTGTCCCAAGGGGGGCTAGCAGCAAAGGCTACTTTTGACCTAGTCTTGGAAGTTCCACATTATATTGGTTAAACAAAGTCACTAAAGCCAGCTCAGATTCAAGGGAAGGGCAAATACACTCCATCTGTTAATCCGAGGAGTGGGTGTGTGTATGGGGAGGAAGGGATTGATTATGACCACCTTTGGACACTATGTACTATGTTAAAAAGGTGGAGATTTAGAACTCATTCTCTGGAATGCCAATCCACCCTGTCCCCACTGTAACTTATTGCTTGTCATATTTGTTTTATATATTATCTGCACCCTCCCCCCAGCCCACCCTTACTGGAAAATAGAACTTATTCAGGAATACACATAAGAAGGAAGTCTTAAATCACATGTTCATTAGTTTACCAGTCTTGTTTGTTGTTTCCTGGCAGTTGTTACTATGTGTAACTTGGACATACTGATCCTTCAAGGACTAGAGAAGGAGATGCAAAAAGGTATGGGCTAAGGAAAAGGACATGAGCAAAGGAGAAGCAGGCATGGAGTCCTAAGTACTCTTCATTTTAATGAGACAATCTGTCCTGTGGACAATGCCTTGCAGTTGAAATGCCTTCATACCTTCTTGGCATCAAAACAAAGCTTTTTTCTTTTTTACTGCTTTGCTTAACAGGAGTCATATATTGTTTTTTCTATTCGATAGCAACTTTTTTAATGGAATACTTAATGGTGATCAGGGTGCAGTATTATGGGACACTTTTAGTAGCTTTGTAAATTGGTACAGCACAGTTAAAATATACTAGGAAATATTAATTTAGAGTTATGAAAATGTTTATATGTTTCGACCCATGGATTTCCTGTCTGGAAACCTAGCCTAAGGATATAAGCCAAATTACAGAAAAAAACTATACAAATATATATATATTTGTATATATATGTATATATATATGCAAATATATATCACAGTGTCATTTATAACAGTGAAAAGTTAGAAAAAACAAATGTCTAGCAGTTAAGAAATGAGAAAAAAGTTAGAAAAAACAAATGTGAAAAGTTAGAAAAAACAAATGTCTAGCAGTTAAGAAATGAGAAAAAAGTTAGAAAAAACAAATGTCTAGCAGTTAAGAAATGAGAAAGTATGTTTTGTTTTCTCCCTGATCAATGGTTATTTTGCAGTCATTAAAAATGAGGGTTATATGCTGTACACATTTACACATGAAATAATATAATGCTGGAAGTTGCTTCAGAATAATCCAGGGGAAGATGAGAAAGTGGGTAAGAGTATAGATGAAACAAGATTGGTCAGGAGTTAACTGTTTCATCTGGGTAATGGCTACGTAGGGGTTCATTACATTATTTGCTCTAGTTTTTATACTTTTGAAAACTTACATTGAAAAGTTTTACATGATGGTTATGCAGGTTGTAAAACAGCAAGGAAAATTGTAAAGATAATGTGAAAAAATAGGATAAAAATTATATACTATAGTTATAAATATATTAAAATATATACAAAGAAAGACGATAAGAAATAACCCAAAATAGTAACAGAATGTGTTAGGATAATCAATGTATGAGGATTGTTTTTTGTTTTTTTTTTAATTTTTACAAATTTTATGTCATATAAAGAATTTTTCACATTAAAAACTGAAATCATACAATGTTTGCTTATCCTTTCTCATCCTTGAAATCTCAAATTTGTTTACTCCATTTAGCATAGAATTTTGTCTTAGCTCTTGGCCACACATCCTTGTAAAACTCCCACAATGTACAGCCAAGTCTCTGTTTTTCGGCATAGAGCCTATCCTTTGTGTATTTTTGCCACACATTGAAAATTCTGAACTAGGTTCTTTATGCTGCCTGGGTTACCTACCCTTGTTGCCTGAATGGGGTTTGTTTATAAAATCCAAAGTGACATTAACACAAGTCTAAACAAAGCATAATGTATAAATTGGGTACCAAAAATAGTCTCATTGGCATTTCAAAGACTACTACAAATGACTTATGTTTGGGATGATTTAAGTCATTGCTTTTTCTTTTATGCTGAGAGTGGAAACAGCTATGCTTTTTTCTGTATGTTCACTTTTTCCTTTTCAGGGCTCCTGGCTTTCATTCTAAAACTCAGAGTATGGGAACCATGGCGATTGTTTAATAAAGGAGTGTATATGTAGATAGTTGTCTCCTGTTACTTGAGGTATTTTGCTATTGTTATCAGGGATGTATACTCACCCTTTATATTCCCTGTTTTCCTTTAACTAGGAAGGTAGTGCGTGAAGTAAAAGCTTTGGCAGCGCTTTCTCATCCAAATATTGTTCGCTACTATAATTGTTGGGATGGAATTGATTATGCTTCTGAGGACAGCGATAATGGAAGGTAACTAAAAAGAAATTCTCATAGGCATAATAGGATGGAGGAAATTGTCATTGACTATACGTGGGCCACTGGATAAGGCCATTAATTAATACATTTAATGATCATAACCATAAACACTGTTTGAGACACTGTTATGATTCTGTTCTGCAGTTAAGGAGACAATGAATAATCCTTGTGCCTCTCCTCTTTTCTTGTGCTTAGCTGTTTTCAAAATGTCAGGTTTAGCTTTCCTGACTCTGTTGTTTAATGTATAGCCTTGCCCATACGCCCCCACTTCAGTGTGGGCTGTAAATGCAGTCTTGCAAAGGAAGTTTGAACATACTGGAGATACCGCAACTGGAGATTCCCTCCTCAGCTTTCAGCACACTTCTCTCCCTCTCTCAGGCCCCCAATTGGTGGGATGCAGTCTAGGGGTCTCTTTCAAATGCAACTACATCATTTATGATGGGGTGGTGGGCAGTGAAAATAATTTTAAGAGCATGAGGTGTGTTGGGGCACCCGACCTTGTATCCCTCGTGTTTTGTCTCAGGTAAGCTACTGCCAAAGGACTAGAGAATTCTAAAGAGCTGGTGTCTCATTTTGAAGATCACCTAGCATTTCTTGGGAACTGTCCTCTCGCTGCAATCCTGAGGCCACAGTAGGCCTGTCATCCATCATCCCCTGACTCCAGCCCTGTCTCCACCCATGTAACTGAGAACCTTATCATCAGTTTCAGGAGTTCTTTACCATCAGCGCACAGGACTTCTTTAGCTTTCAGAAAATTCTCGGCTGCCTCTTTTTATTTTAGAGCCAGCTTATGTTCAATGAATGTAAATTAATATTGAGGCCAACTTAGTTTAAAAAAACAAACAAACCAGATTAGCAAAATCAGTCTTCCCAGTTAAATATCATAGCAATTTGCTGCCGCTTCTCTTAGAGCACGTATCCTTGTACCATGGTTTTAGGTTTGTTTTTCCTTTACCTCTCTCCTGTTATGCTATCATCCCCATGACAGCAGGGATAGTGTCTAACTCATTTTCTTATCTCTAGGTGCCTTTTCTGTGCCTTTCACAAAATAGATGCTCAGTAGATTGATGGTGAATTAAAATGTTTCGAAATTAGTTATGAAATAATGATATTTGGTTTCCTGCAATTCCATTGTATTAATGTTTTCATTCCTATCTATTAGCAAAGGCGAGAAAGGATCTTCAGCATTAAAGGACGGACAGGCTTATCTATCATTAATTAGCTAAAAAATGAAGCTGTGGATATCTGAGAACTTATGATTTAAATAAAAGATGGCTTATTACATTTTTATTCAAATTTATTATATTTAGATTTCTGTTTTGAGACATGTTTTGCTCTTAAGAAGAGAAGGTAAAATTTTTTCAAAATGTACGTTTTATAAGTTTGTTTTCATTGCTACTTGTCTGTGAATTTTAGATTCGAATCATGCACTAAGTGCCTTTTCATCCAAATGGAATTCTGTGAGGAAGGGACATTGGAACAATGGATTAACAAGAGAAGAGACCAGAAAACGGACAAACATTTGTCTTTGGAATTATTTGAGCAAATAGCAAAAGGAGTGAATTTTATACATTCAAAAGGGTTAATTCATAGAGATCTTAAGGTAAGTGGAAAACGTGCTTCCTTAGGAATTGATAAATGTAATTTAGTAATTTTAGAATCCGTCTTCTCAACTTTTAGAGTTGGTTGACAGAATTGGTTGAAATTATATCTCTGCTTCCCTAAAGTTAGAGTGGATGTAGAACTTGCCTCACATACCATTCCATAGGACCGCTTAGAAGATCTCAGGGCTAGTAAACTGATGGAGACAGCGAGCTCTGCAGGAAGGAGCTCATTCACTTCTGGTTCTATCTTGCTGATAGCTATGCTCCAGTTGTACACAGTAATAACTTTCATACACTGAACATTTCAGTGCACATAATTATTGTGGCTGGCACAGTCAACTAGCTGCCCTGTCTCTGCTTCTGCTGCCATTCAGGCTTGTCCGAAAGGCAGAAGGGACTCTGGTGACTATGGCTTTGGGAACATGGGTTTTCCTACTCTTTCAGTCATTACTCTTGAGGGCAGTTGCAGCTACTAGGCCCAGAGTCTAGAATTTTCTTGGCATTTGGTTAGACATCTCTACCCCATGATTGGAAAATTGTAGTAATTCAAACCTTGGAACATACTTTTGTATTTTCGTTTTCTTCTCTCTTCCTAGAGTCCTAAGTAGTCTAAATAACCATTTTTCCTTCTCATCAAAATGAAAGAAAAGAGACGGAATAGCTATTCGGTCTCTCCTCCATACTCTATTCCCTTTGATTTGCCTACTCTCATCACAAACTAGCCGTGCTGAATTCTGTCACTGAACCTTTGCTCATGTTCTTGTATGGAACACTCTTATGCCTGTCCTGTCTGGTCCCAGTTCCTTTATGTAGCCTTTCCTAATCATTCTAGATCGAGCAGAAGTACCCTGTTTATATGGATCTTGACTATCTGCTTATCCCACCTATCTAAAACAACCAGGAACAAGGAATGAAGCAAGAAGTTCCTTGAGAAAAATAAGCATTTACATATATAGTTCTTTGTTGGGTCTTTATTGAAATAAGTGGCCCTTAAAAGATGTTGCATCCTCGATCTGCCCAGGGGCTGAATATCTGATGCCTTCATGTTGGAGTCCACCTGGTTCCAAGATCCCTCTTTAATAATATCTGAAGGTATTCTCTGAAATTGGAATATTATAAGGACTCTGTTCAAAAACATACATGTAGAATGGCTGTACCTCCACACTGGAATAAATTATACATAGACTTAAATAAGAAAGTAAGCACAATTATCTACTTATATATTAAATTGCAAGTAAATAAAGAAGTTTGGGTATTAACTCCCACACCCTCCTCTGGATGAATTAGTGCAATTCTGAGTGGTGCCAACTGGAGTCTCCCTTCTCCTACCACACTGCCTATGCCCCATGTTGCAGAGTGATCTGTTCTTGTGTCTGTTTGCAGAGAAAGTTTGCTCTATGTCTGCAGTTACTCAAAGGTCAGGCTTTAATACTGCTGAGCCTTCTCTCTTCTACAGCTTTCCTAGCTTCACTGCTACCACGGCTGCTTTCTTGCATCTGAGAGAAGATGCAAAGGCGTGCACTTTTTTTGGTGATGCTTCGCAAAATACCAGTAGATGGCTTTGTTAGAGAATGGTTTTTACCCAACAGAACCCCTACTATATAAAATCTACCAGTGCTTACCGCTTTCTGTCGGGATCATAAGAACTAAACCAAAGGCACTGGGGAGAGGACATAGAAGTTTCTGGAGTGAGGGCTTATAGTCTTTGAAGGTTCAGTCCCCCTAGGTCCAAGTTCTTTTGTCATCCTTGGCTTGAGCATCAGCCCTTTTTCCTGTATTTCCAAATAAAGTTTGCACCCTTTTTTATGCTCTACTAGCCAATGTTTTGCTTAATCATATTGTAACTAATTAGACAAAATGGGCATTATTGTTTTTTTCTTTTTAATGAACAATAAACAAGCAATTTGATATTTTTACTAGACAGTCCTCTCCAGCTTACATATTTTGATAGCATTGTAAATGTAACCTCCTTTTTCTCAGAGCTGGGTTATAGCTTTGTGTGGGACTAGCAGTTGTGCTTGCAAACCCAACATGTTCCTTTGTAACTTGAATATAGCATTAGTGCATTTTCTCTTCACGCCCAGCCCATATACATCTACAGCTTTCCATTTTCATTATGGGTGTTAGGTTCCAATTTCACTGTGAGTCGTTTGAATCTAAATTTCACATGGATTTTTTCAGGCTGGCTTCTTAGAAGATCTTCTTTCAGACCTTCCTGGGCTGATGGTCTCTTTCCTCTCAATTCCTTTGCTAAGGCCCTCTCATAAGTGAGGGTCTGTATGTGAATGTATAGCCAGCCCACTTTGTATTAAAAGTCTAGCCTTTTTCAAGAATGGCAAAGTATTAATTTCCTCATCAATAACTGTCCTGTTTTTATCATCTTTAGAATATTGGTCAATACCTTCTATAAATTTGTGAAATAGGATGAACACTCTTCATTCTGTTCTTCCTTTTTTTCCCCATCTGCTTAAAGAATTACATGGAAAAAATATTTCAGTGCTAGTTAGCAGCTTCTAGTTAACTTGATACATCTTCAAGGATAGAGAGGGTATGTTTTTGAAGAAGTTGCCAGAGAAATTGACATGGAGGAAGCCCTCATGAGAAATTCTGCACAAGATATCCTGTAGCATTATTGTGAAGAGACCCATTCTGAGAATCTCAAAATTAGAAGGGCTTTTAAAGGCATCTATTTCAATCTCCATCAAATCCTGGACTCATATTTGCAACATGTCTACCAAGTAGATGTCCAGCCCTGTCTGGAGTACTTCCTGGGATAGAGAACTCCTAACTACCATTCTTTGAAAAACACTATTAGTATATTAGGTTATACTAAAGGAAATCTTCTGGTCATTTCCACCCTCTAGTCCTGGATTTATCACTTTGGACTATACAGAGTGAATCCATCTTCCACTTTATTTAAAGTCCTTATATTTAAAGTCCTTATTCCCTCAGCTGGCATTTTAAAGACCTGTGATATTAAATTTTCTGTTTTGGGCTGCCTGTGTGAAGGCAAATGCCTTATAAGTAAATGTAAAACTAACCATTGCTGAATAGGATTTGGATATGTGGCCCAGTATGTCAGATTGGTACTTGTAAATTAAATATTGTTTTTTCTTTTTCTGTAGCCAAGTAACATATTTTTAGTAGATACAAAAAAAATAAAGATTGGAGACTTTGGACTTGTAACATTCCTGAAAAATGATGAAAAACGGACGAATAACAGGGGAACTCCACGATACATGAGCCCAGAACAGGTGAGGTCCCTTTCCTTTCTTACTTTTTTCATTTTTTTTAAATTATAAAAATAATAAATACCTCTTATAAAATTAAGTTTGCAGAAAATAGAATAAAAATGGAAAATTTCCCTTAACTTTCCTTTTTACTTTTACTCTTTTCACTGGAGTTTGTTGTTTATCCTTTTAGATTATTTTCTGAGAGTTTTAAAAATATACAATCACAAATATATATTTACAGATGTTTTTACATGAAAATATACATACACACATTTTACTAGGATACTGTAGTGTTCTTATGTGACTTGATTTTTTTCATTTAACTTTTTTTTGACTTAAGTGTTTGTACTTAATCTTTCTATATCAGTACAAATAGATCTGACAGATTGTTTTTAATAACTGTATTGTATGCTGAAGTATAGCTGTACTATAATTTAACTGTTTCCTTATTGATGGGTATTTATTAGGTTGTTTCCAACTTTTCACATTTACAGACATGTTATATGTCTTTCTCCTTATCTTTGAGTCTGAGAATAAATATTTCCATGATAATCTATGATAGGTTTCTTGAAGTGAAATTATTGAATAGAATGACAAATGCATTTCAAACCCGATAAATACTGTGAAATTGTCATCCAAAAAAAGTGATTCTACTATGCTCTCTTACCAAAGTGTCTGAGAATACTGCTTCCTCCCTCGCAGTCTAAATTAGACTAGGATACTTACTGTCATGCTACAGTCTTGGCCAATATGATGAATGAGGAGTATCTTCCTTTTTCAGTGTGCATTTTCCAGATTTTTAGTAAGATAGGGTATCTTTACATGTGTTTCCTTACATTTTTCCTCGAATTTTCTATTTATATCTCTTTCTCATTTTTCTTAATCAGGTTATCTTTTGTAATTTATTTATAAGGAATCTTTATGTATTTTAAATATTGATGCTGTATGTGTTTACTATAGTATAAAAATTTTCTCCTTGATACTATTTCTTTGTTTATAATGTGATAGGAAAACTCTTAAGTGTCACATTTATCAATATTTTCTTTATTACTGTTGGATTTCTCATTTTCTAATTTTGGAGGTTTTTCCTACCACAAGATTATAAAAATATTTTATGTTTTGCTAATACTTTAATTAACTTGAATTAATTTTTGTATACATATGAGGAAGGGGTATAACTTCATTTTCTCCAGTTAGATATGCAGTTACCCCATCACCACGTATTAAATAGTTCATGATTTAAAATATTATTTTAAGGAAAGTTCATAGAGGCAAAAAGTAAAACAGAAGTTACCAGGGCCTACAGGAGGGAAGTTACAGTTTTAATGGGTACAGTTTCTGTTTGGGATGATGAAAAACTTCTAGAAATAGATAGTGGTGATGGTTACACAACATTGTGAAGGTACTTAATGCCACTGAATTGTACAAATAAAAATGGTCAAAACGGTAAATGTTCTGTTGTATATATTTTGATATAATAAAAATGCTGTTTCATGATATATGAAATTCCCACATATTTGTGGGTCTTTTTCTAGACTCTATTCTGTCCAGTTGATTTATTTTTTTCTCTTTAATATCATACAGTTTTAATAATTACAGCATTATAAAATAGGTTTTAGAATCTGACAGCAGGACCTCCCACATTATTCTTCAATTATAAAACATTCTTAGTGTTCATATTCACTCTTCCAAATAAACTATAGAATCAGCTTGTCGTGTTTCATAACTGGTATTGAGGTTCCGATAGCAGTTGCATTAAATTTAAGGATTTAATTGAGGAACATTGACATCTTTATATATTTGAGACTTCTTCAGGAAACTGATATATTTCTGCCACTTATTCCAATCATCCATCAGTCAGCTTTTGCCAGGCTATGCCCTGGTAAGAAATGAGCCCTGATTTCCTGGTGGCTCACATAACACCAGAGGTTTATTTCTTGCTCACATGATGTGTCTGCTGTAGTTTGGCTGCAGTTTTTCCCCATGTGTCACCTTCATTCCTTAACGCAGGCTGAAGGAAGACCCATAACTGAGTATTGCTTTCCTCACTGTAGAAAGTAATGTCAGAACCTTGTGATGGCTTTTAAGATTTTGCTCATATATCAGGGTTCCCTAACCCTCCAAGCAGTGATCTGGCACTAGTCTGTAGCCTGTGAGGAACCGAGGCGCACAGCAGGAGGTGAGCGGTGAGCAAGTAAGAGAAGCTTCATCTGTATTTGCAGCCTCTCACTGCCTCAGCTCCACCTCAGATCATCAGGCATTAGATTCTCATAGGAGCATAGGTCTCTGATGCCAAAAAGGTTGGGAACCGCTGGCATATATCACTAAACATCATTTCCCAGAGCAAAGTGCATGGCCCAGCTCAAAGCCAAGAGAGTAGGGAAGTATTATGCTCTCACTGGGAGGCCAGTGCACAATTGAGAACAATAATACAACCTACCTCCAAGTCACTTTTGTATTCTTCAATGAAGTTTTAAAATATTTTTTTCTTTATGAATGTTGCTTGTATTTTAAAACTTTTCTCTGAACATGTATGGTGTTTTGCCGTTAAAATAGGACTCCTTGTATCCCATTAGTTATTAGTGAGGCTATTAAGTTTTAAAATACATTTATATTTAATTGCGGTCAAATACACATAACATAAAATTGATCATCTTCACCATTTTTAAGTGTGCAATTCAATGGCATTAAGCACATTCATTTTGTTGTGCTGCCATCACTATCTATCACAGACCTCTTCATCTTGAAAAACGGAAACTCTAGACCCATTGAACAGCATCTCATTCCCTTCTCTCTCCAGCCCCTGGCAACCACCATTCTACTTTCTGTCTCTATGAATCTCACTGCTCTAAGTACCTCATAAGTGAGATCATACAGTATTTGTCTTTTTGTGACTGGCTTATTTATATCAGCATAATGTCTTCAAGATTCATGCATGTTGTAGCACATATGTGAATTTCCTTCCTTTTTAAGGCTGAATAGTATTCTCTTGTGTGGATGGACCACAGTTTGTTTATCCATCCACGAATGAATATTTGGCTTGCTTCTTCCTTTTGGCTGTTGTCAATTAATGTTTCTATGAGCATGGTTGTACAGCTATTGATTCATGAATGTTTGGCTTATATATAGGCTCATTAATAGTTTTGGGGTTTTTTGGTTGATTGCTTATTGTCTATTTTTATCTTTTGCGGTTGTTCATCCTATCTTTCTTTTTGACTTATAAATGCCCTTTAAAGTTGATTTTTTTAATTGATAATATATCTTTCAAAATACCTCTATTGTTTTGTCATCCAAGAATAAATATGCTGAGTTATCTGATGGTTCAAGAGTCTAGAATGAAGAAAGAGAACATTTCTTTTTAAGGGGAACCATTGGCATTAAAAAGCAATTTAAGATTTTTGTGGAGCGTGAAAGAAGACAATAAGAGGCTAATTGGCTCCCTTTTAACACTCACTTTTATTAAATATCTTCTGCATCCTATATTGTCACTCTTAGAATATTTTTTTAAATCATTCATCATTGTGCTTTTTGTTTTCTTTGTGATTTTTAATTTGAAACCATTTTATTGAGAAGTAGTTTATATATCATAAAATGCACAGATCTTAAATGTACATTTTTCACTTTTGACCAAAGCATATACCCGTGAAGCCCACAAGCTTGTGACGATGTAGAACATTTTCCTCACCCAAGAAAATTTTCTCAGCTCCCTTTCCAGTCAGTCCCTCCTCCTCACTGCCCAGAGCCAACCAGTGGTCTGGTTTCTATACCATAGATTAGTTTTTCCTGTGAATAGGTCCATACAGTGTATATTCTATTTTTTATTTGATTATTTCACTGAAAGTAATGTCTGTTGGAGAATCTCTAGTTGTTGCTTGTACCAGCAGATTATTTCCTTTTATTGCTGAGTACTATTTCATAGTATGAATACAGGCATACCTCGGAGGTATCGTAGGTTCAGTTCCAATCATTACAATAAAGCAAGTCACATGAATTTTTTGGTTTCCCAGTGCGTAAAAAGGTTATGTTTACACTACACCATAGCCTATCAAATATGCAATAGCATTATATCTAAAAAAATTGTATTACCTTAATTAAAGAATACTTTATTGCTAACCATCATTGAGCCTTCTGCAAGTTGTAATCTTTTTGCTAGTAGAGGGTCTTATCTCGATGTGGAGGATTTTGCCTTGATGTTGATTGCTGCTGACTGATCAGGGTTGTTGAAGATTGGGGTGGCTGTGGCAATTTCTTAAAGTAAGACAGCAGTGAAGTTTGCCACATTGATTGACTCTTCCTTTTATGAATGATTTTTCTGTGCCATGTGATACTGTTTGATAGCATTTTACCTAGAGTAGGACTTCAAAATTGGAATCAACCATCTCAAACCCTTCCATTGCAATCTCAACTAAGTTTATGTAATATTCTAATAATTGATGAGGCAATAATAGGTTAGATAAAAGAAAAGAAACCAGAAGACAACATTTTCTAAATAAATTGAAATTTGTTAGCCATTGGGAAAACAGTATCATCCACTACCACACATCACAGTAAAGTATTTCTGAATGGATTTCTGATCTAAATTTTAAAAATGCAATAAAGTGAAGTGCAATAAAACGAGGTGTGCCTGTATACCATAATTTGTTTATCCATTCTCCTCATGATTGACATTTGGATTGCTTCCAGTTATGGAATATTATGACTAAATCTTCTATGAACATTTGCAGGCAAGTCACTTACTGGGAACTATCTTAACTGCTTCACCTGCGCCATGTCATTTATCCCAACAAACTGCGGTTGAAATGATTGTTATCCCCATTTTATAGATAAGATAATTCCTATGTTGATGATAAATTTACACAGGTGATGCAGCTATTTAGTGACAGAGATTTGAACTTGGGCAGTTAGACTCTACAGATCTTGCTAACAAACATATACTGTCATATAATATATTTTGGTGAAATAATGGTTTTGGCTTCAGAAAGCACGGATGTTTATATAACGTGAATAACAAATGTAAATATATTTTGGTCTCTTTAGCTTTCTTCAACAGAATATGGAAATGAAGTGGACATCTATCCTTTAGGGCTAATTCTTGCAGAGCTTCTTTACATATCCCGCACTCTTTTGGAAACATGTAAGGTAAATAATCTCACAGAAAGAATTAAACGATAAAAATTATTGGCTGTCATCTTCAAACTGCTGCTGCAGACAGTTATTGCTCTCATGTGAGAATGGGCTTGAACGTATTAGTGTTGCCTGCAAATATGGATTTTTATCTCTTTTTATCTCTTTCGAGTTTGGGCAACCAAAACTTTTTGTTAGGAGATCCAGTCATAATGGCAGAGTAGGCAAACGCTCTGCTCATTTCCCTTGACTACATCAAAATTACAACTAAATTATAGAATAACCACCTTGGGACCACCGGAAGACTAGCTGAACAGAACTTCTATAACTAAAGATATAAAGAAGTCACATTGAGACTAAATATTGAATGTCAACTATAATTGAAAAACAAATAAACAAACAAAAACCACTTTTTGTTAAAAACCAAAAACTTTGGGGTTTTGGAGGGAGGTGTGTGCATTTCATAAAACCATAGCTGTTTCTTTCTATTTGTGTCAGCCAGTAAAATTTTGATTGTCTGCTTGGCATAAGATGCTGTGCTAAGTGTGCTACAAGGATTTTAAAAATGAATAAGCCTTCTCATTTCTCAAGGAGCTTATATTTTAGGAGAGAAGGCACTGTAAGAGAATGCTGTAAATGTTTTGGGAGAAAGCATGAAGTCTTATGGAAGCTGTTAGGAGGGAGAGCTTTCCAGTTGTAGGAATTTAGGTTTCATGGAAGTATTGAAGCTGGGCTCTGCAGAATTGGTCTAAATTAGAAAGAAGCTACTTCCAGCATGGAGATAGGAATGTGCAGAGTGTGTTTGGGGATATCAGGCAGTGTCTGATATTTTTATTGGAGTATATTAGTTACAAGGAAGTGGTGGTTGATGGGGTTGAAAAGACATGTTGGGGCTAAATTAAGGCAAGAATGTGAACTTTCTTGTGAAGGCAATGGGGAGCTAGTAGAGGCATCAGGCATATCCTAGACTGGATGTCCTAGTCTAAAGCTCAGGAAAGGGGACTCACCTGGCATCAGCAGCCTTCTCCTCTGTAAAATAGGGGTAATAAATAATACCTATTGTATAGGGTTCCAAAATGGATGAAGGTAAATAATGCATATGATACTCTTAACACTTCAACATGTCATGATGTTAGAGATGGTTATTAGGTGGGCAGGGTAGGGGAAGAGAGTCCTGCTTGCTTCTTGGCTGGAGAGACTTTCCAAAGATCTGGAAATTTCGTGGATTTGGGGTATCCTCAGCCTTTAGTGCTTCCTAAGTTTGTTTTTCTTCCCAAGTGAATAATTTCCTAATGAATGTACATATGCTTTATTTTCAGATTTTTGAAGATCTAAAGAAAGGCAAGGTCTTAGATGTATTTGATGACAAAGAAGTAAGCATTTGAAAATAATCAGTTTTATTTACTTCAATGTTTTATTTCCTCATATTGACTCTTACTATCATTACAGAAAATTCTTCTACAGAAATTACTTTCAAAAGACCCCAAGAAACGACCTAACACATGTGAAATACTGACTACTTTGGAAGAGTGGAAGAATGTTGCAGAGAAAAAGAAACGAAACACATGTTAGAGCCTTTCTAAAAAAGTATCCTGCTTCTAATGTTTGATTTTCCTGTAACTCTCTGAAATCTGCTAGGGGCTATCAATGGTATTTACCCGCTATTTTCATTTTCCCTTTGATTGATTCATTAATTAACATAAAAAAATGAGGATTTCCACCCACCATCTTCATAAAGAGATAAGGTGGGAAAAAGTCAAATGTAAAATGTTTTTGAAGTTAAAAAATGCAAACCATTTTGCAAATGCAGTAAAATACTAAGGGAAAAATAGCTAACAAGCCAGTTGGAGAAAATGGTAATCATAAAAAGATAAATATATACAATCATTTTGGAAAACAATTTGGTATTATCTAGTTAAATTAAATGTATACATACTGTAAAAGCCATCAATTGTATCCCTACATACGTGCCTATAAGAATGTTCATAAACATCCTGTTTATAAAAGTCAAAGGAACAGAAAACAATTATTACATTATTACAAGAAGAACAGATATATACATTGTATTATATTCACACAGGAATACAATATAGCAGTGAAAAAACAAATTACAGCTAAATGCAGTAACACCATATTTCCCTCAGGAACTTAATGTTAAGCAACAAAACAGGTTACAGGAAATATATACAGAATGATTCCATTCACATGAAGTTCAAAATGCTAATGAAAACATTTTGTTTCGAAAGCCAAACGTTGTAAAACAGTAAAGGGTAGGAAAAGTATGAGAAATATTAAATTCTGCTAGTGGTTAACTCTGAGTAGAAACAGGAGTGAGGAATTAGATTTCGAAGGCAGTTAACTTTTTTTTTTCCTTAAACTGGATATTGAGTCCACTAGTGTTTACTCTCCAGTTATTCTTTTTATTTTAAATACATTTTGAATCGATTATAACAAACACCTTAAAGAGATCATAAGGGTGCCAGAAGGCAGTAGTTAAACGTAAGAAAATATTCAGTCTGGAGGGGCAAGATCACTTTGTAATGAGGTATCTCATGGCACAGGGCTTAGAAGTGACACTCCAGCGACGGATTTAGATGAGTAGAGAGGAGACCAAATGCACAGTTTGGGTAAGGGGCATGGCATATTTGATGACATAGAATAATTATTTATTTTTTTATGTGTGATAATGATATTATGGTCAGGCAGGAAAATGTTTTATTCCTAGGCCATGCATACAGAAATATCTAGGGTTGAAGTGGCATATTTGCAACTTTCAGATGTTCAGCAAAAATCAATGTGTATGTGAAGAGAGAAAAAGCAAATGTTGCGAAATGTTAACAATTGATAAATCTAGCTGGAGGGTACAGAAGTATTTCTTATAATATTCTTTGAACTTTTCTGTAGGTTTGAAGTTTTTCTGGGAGGAGAGAAATCTTTTTTAAAAATACAATATTATCTGGATTTAATAGCAGTTGATTTAAGTCATTTAGACAGTTAATGAATAAGGCTGTACTCAAAAGAAGGTAGCCTTATTTTTACTTTCTCTCATTTTAATATTTATACTATTATGGGGGAGTATTTCAGATCTTGTTCCTTGTCATATGTCAGTTTGGCCAAATAAAATCTTAAAAATTTGAAAAAAATACTTATACTATCATGAAATAAACATGGCATCTTTTGGAAGCTTTTAATTATTTGTGAGTATATATTTTTCTGAGCCTCAAAATGATAATAAATAAAAAGTAACCTCTTAATCAGAGGAGCAGAGGGGCAAGGGCCAGAGACCTTTTGCAAATTAAAATGCACACACACACACAGATTTTGAAAGATATATCTATATATCTATATATCTATGTCTATGTCTATATATCTATCTACAGATATATTTACCCCCCTTTTAAAAATTTGTTGGAGTTTTTAAAGCAATTTTAGGGCATAATGTCATTTCATTTGTAAATACTTAATGTCATTCAACAAAATAAGATCCCTTTAATTATATGATAATCTAGCTTGTATTCATTGTTCTTATCTCAAAAATATCTGCAGGTTGTTTAAATCAGAATCTAACATTGCATTTAGTTGGTATTTCTCTTTTACTCTATAACTTTTACTTGTTCTTAGTTTCTTTCCTCTTGCCATTTATTTGAGGAAGGAACTAGATCATATGTCCTGTAGAATTTCCTGCATTCAGGATTTGGCTCATGGTATCCCTATGGTGTCTAGTTAGATCTAGAGACTTGATTTGATTGTGGTTTGAAACTTTTTTCCAAGAATACTCCATAGGTGATGCTGTATACTTTATTTTGCATCACTTCAAGAGGAACCTGATGTCTGGTTGTTCCACTTTGAGTGATTTTAAGATGGATCAGTGGGTTGTGGTGATGTCATCTATTACAAAGCTAGAGATCTTTCACCTAACGGTTTTAGCAACCATTGATGTGTTGTCTGGACCCATTATTTCATTAGGGGTTGTGAGATCATGATTTTTGGATTCTATTAAATCTCTTTCATTTGTCATCTGTGATTCTTCTATAAAGAACTTTCTCTAAAGCTGAATGGGAAAAGTGGGATAAATATTTAACTTATTAATTTTTAGAATGAGTTAGTGCTCTGGCAACCTCCAAAGGTGACCAATGAGATGTTTTTTTAAGCAGTGGTGTGACCCAACCAGTACTTTGAAATTGTGTTTAGAATGGGTTGGAGCACGAAGAGACTATATTTGAAATGTCAGAAGTCCAAAAGGCTAAGAGAGCCTGAATAATGGGAAGGGGCAAAACCAAGAGGAGCTGGCAACTAATTGGATGTGAGGATTTAGGAACAGGTAAGCAACAGAGATTACCTCCAGGTTTGTTCAAAGGTGAGTGGCAGTATATGATGCCATTAAAGGAAATATAGGTCTCCATGAAATTAAACACTCCCCCCGCAAAGGGCCATGCATATTTGAGATTCTATCACATTTTTACCTGTTTTTAATTAGAATTTAAGCCAATAGAGACAACTGTACATCTTTCAGCATGGTGAGGTGAGCACATTTGGAAGGTAAAATGTTGGATCTCATTTGGAGATGCTGAGTTTGGGGTGCTGCCAGAATATTCAGGGTGAATATGTGGAGCATACTGTAGGAAATGCAGGATAGGAACTCAGGAGAAGGGATAGATTGGAATCATACACAGAAGTGATGTGTAGCCTGGAAGTAAACCAACATTCCACTTTGAATTCAAGAGATTGCCAAGGGAGATACTATACAGAGGAAAGAGGGCTAAGGAGCAAAGCATGGTAGATATCTCCATTTAGATATCTACTTTTCCAATGTAATATCGATCCAGTCCTTAAGGTCTGTGATTCTATACCTGTGGCTATGGCCTATCCCAATCCTACATTTCCTCAGAATGATCTCAGATGAAGAGACTATAGTTAGCTGTACGGTGGTCCCACTATTGGCTTAAAGTCTAACTAAAAACTGTGTAATAGGTAAAACTGTGAGACAAATAAATTCTCAAATATTTGTGGCTCTTTAGGGGTTAATTTGATTGAGACCCATATTAGTTTCCTATGGCTGATGTAACAAATTCCCATAAACTTCGTGGTTTAAAGCAACATACGTTTATTATCTTACAGTTCTGCAGGCCAGAAGTCTGAAATGTGTTTTACTGGGATAAAGTCAAGGTGTTGGCAGGGTTGTCCTCCTCCAGAGGCTCCCATTCTGCACACACATTGACTTACTTGAATAAGCCCCAGCCACACTGGTTGGCTCAGTGTTACCTGGATAGGCTTTTGCACTCAATGGCTCTCTGCTATGGTTTCTATCTGAAATTCTCTTCAACTTTTTTTGAATTGTGGCTTTATCAAGGTATAATTAACATACCATATAATTCACCATTTAAAATGTACAGTTCAGTGGTGTTAGGTATATTCAGAGCTTTGCAACCATCACAATCAATTTAAAAACATTTCTGTCACCCCATGAAGCCCATGCCCATTAATATCCATCCCTTCCTTATCTTCCCCCACTTCTAGGCAATCACTAATCTACCTTTTTTCTCTGTAGATTTGCCCATTCTGGATATTTTATTTAAATAGAATCATATATGTGGTCTTTTTCGCTTCATGTAATGTTCTCAAGGTTCATCCAGGTAGTAGCATGGATCGGTACTTCATTCCTTTTTGTTGCCAAATAATTTTCACTTCTACGGATATATCACATTTATTAGTTGATGGACATTTGGGTTGTTCCCACTTTTCTGCTATTATGAACAGTGCTACTATGAATATTCATGTACAGATTTTATGTGGATACGTGTTTCCATTTCTCCCATGTATATACCTGAGTGGAAATGTGGGGTCATTTTGTAACTCCTCCCTCATGACTTTGCCTGTCAGTTATGCTCAAACCTACATTCCCTGCCACTTCCAGTGTTCCACTGTCTCCTGCTCAGAGTAAAACTTCTCCCTTAGTACACTCATTGGTGCTTCAGTATTGTGCTTACCAGTATGCATTGGAGCTGTTATTTCTACGTGGCTCTTAACCTCATACTGTGAATTTCTAGAAAGCAGGCACTCTTAATTTTGTATACTTCAAGGCAGTGAGTATACTGCCCTCCATTAAAGCAGGAACTCTGTGTTTTTGAAGTGGTGGGTAATAAGTGTTAAATTCATATTATTGATCTTACAAAATGTATCTAGCACTAAATAATGTTCACTTTAAAATTTCAACAATTAAATGTTTGGCAAGTAACACTTAAAGGTATGTTAAGATTAATTAATATGGTGCACTGAAGTCTTATTTTGAATTTTAGAAGCTCTAGTATTTTGGATATATAATCAGGAAAATAAACATTTTAGAAGTTCTAGATAGGACTTTAATATAGCGCAATATAAACAAAAATGAATGACATTTCAAATTTCATATACATGCCCTAAAGCAAATTTAAAAAATTCTTTCAACGTTTTGCTTTCCTGGGTTATCATCATCATTTAATTATGAAGTCCTAAAAGTCCTATGTGAATAAAAATGTTTTTACTCATATTGAAAGCTGTTATTTTTAAATGTTGATGGATAAGGATGGAGGGATGCCTCCCACTCTCCAAGGCAGGCCTAGTTCTAGCCCTTGGCTTGGAAATGCAGACCACAACTCTAGTGGAGTGATGGGTTCCATTGAAGTTATTACCATTCTCAACAAAGTTGTTCATAAACATACTCAAAATCTTCTAGGCCACTAGGCAGGTGGTGGGTTGTCCCGATAGTAGGAGAAAAGGAAGCCAGTTCCTGACTCTTATTTCATGTGAAACAGTCCACATGGCTTTGGGACTGACTGAATGAATGTCGGTATGTTGACTATAATTCTAAGGGAAAGGTATACTCCTTTGTTTTATAATTTTATTATTTTTTTTAAACAAGTAAATATTAAATAGTATTCAACTATATAAACTTCAATATTTTATATATGCATTTATGTTCATAAAAGTAATGATCCATTTTCTGGATGAAGAACTGAAGCCCAGAAGTTACCTAGCTTAGTGATTCTCAAGCTCTGCTTCATCTTAGAATTAGGGTAGTCATGTCAAGGCCACGGTGACCAACTACATCAGAATTTCTGGGGGCCTGACCCTTGTATTATTTTTTAAAGTTCCCCAAGTTAAACTCAAGAACAAGTGAATTAGGTCATATTAGGTCAGAGGCTAAAAAAAAGTTGCACTATTGATTATCTTAACTTGTGCCAGAATAGGTTAGCTTTTGCTATGTTCTTGCATATGCTGTTTCTAAAACAGGAAGAAGAGGTTGACCTCTTGCTCAGTGTTACTAAAAGGTGAGATGTAAGCTGTGCAGGGACATCTCAATTCTAAGAATAGCAGTGCTCTATGTTTAATATATAGCACTAGTTCTCATCCACATATGCTTATCACACTCATTCTTAGAACTTTAAATATAGATATCAAGAAACTATCCTAGATTAGCTGAATCAAAATCACTAAGAGAGAGGTACCTGAGCTTCTGAATTTTAAAAAAGCTTCATGATTTTGATGCCCAACCTTGGATGAAGCTCTAGAGGTGTGCCATGGTATATATGTCCTTAGCTGTACTCAATTAAATTTTAGGAAGCAGATTTCAGCTTAAGACAGAAAAAATAACTTTAAAAATCACTTAGAGCTACCCAGCTAAGGCAGTGAGCTCTGAGAAGTACAGGAACAAGCTCTGTGAACCCTCATTGATTCTCTTTCAACAGAGAGATGTCTTATCTGATGAGTGCTATTGAGAGAAGGAACCTAGCCTGTGTGGCCCAGCCCCTAGTAGATTCTGTCACCTTGAAAGCTAACTAGTCTGAAAATGTGAAATGGGCTGTGTTCTCACCGAGGTCTGCAGTCTCTCCAATCACAGAGCTATGTTAGGGAGTCTGACTAGAGAACAAATCAGCCTTGCCGTCTATTTCAGCTTCACTGATAATAAAGCTGGCTCCCATGTCTTATTTTTCAATTTGTTCTGAAGTGAAGAGAGGAATAAGGGAGTTACCTGCTGGTGTCCCTTAAACTCCATAAGTATCACAACAGAGTCATAAATTGTAATGGCCCGTGTCTATAACTCATGTTCTGAAATAGCATTCCATTATATTTTTGGAGGTCAGTGAACAATTCTAAAGTATGAAGGACTTCGAAAGTAGAAAAAGAACAAAATATATAAGGCCCTCTTTCTTTACTGGTGTCCAAAATCTGGGAATTCTAACTGCTCAACTATCTGTCTTTGAGAATAACAGCATTTTCCAGATTTCTACTTTATTGAGACTACTCTTAGTCGTGATCTGCGGAAGTTGGTCCTGGGCAATGTGAAGACAGGTCTTCTTCATCTGTAATTTATGTTAAGAAAATAAAAGATTAATGTAATTTATATTGTAAACTATTCTAGAAAATTATTTCAACATAACATAGGTTTTATAGGTATCTTTGCTATTTAGTCTGCTAAACAAACTGGAAAAAGACAGTAACAATAAACAAATTCTTCACTCTTAAGTACAAAATCCTTAAATTCAAGTTAGTAAAGCCAGCATAGGCAAATGTGAGAGAAAGGAAAGCTTTTGGATCCAAAATACATTTGGCATTTTTTTAAACCATTTCTTTCTTTATTAAAAAATAAAAAAATGGAGGGAATTTCAACATGCTAATTTTTATGGTTCAGGAACAATATTCTATGTAACTATATAAAAATTAGTCCTAAAAATTTAATATATCTTTCAAGTATCTGTAGCTGAAGAATCTTTAAAAATAAAGCATGAAAAAAACCCATCATTTTTAAGTGACTCAAAATTTTTTCTTCTGAAATGAATGAAAAATTCTTTTCTACACGTTCCATTTCTGAAAAGTTAAAAACATCATTAATGAGGCCTCAATTATATTAATATCCATTATTTCTTTAAGATATTGATCCCACATTACCATTTGGATGGAATAAGAAATTTCCATTGTCTATGGGAATTTGACTTTTAAAAAAAATCAGAGTATTTGTATTCAATACTTTTTAAAAGTTTAAAGTATTTTCTTACCTTCATAGGCTGTTCCACACCAAATACAATACAGATGTTCTTCTCTTAAATAACTAGTCAATATTTGTAATTTGTCCAGTACCTAGATATAGGACACAAGCATATTAATGGTTCACATTGAACAGAATCTTGGTTTCCTGGTGCTCTGGGGCATGCTGAATTAGCCCAAGGCCATAAGTCTGCTACACTTTCAACCAGTTAGGAGAGGTGTTCAAGGCAGAATACATTAAAACATGACCCAGTTTGCCAGCCACTGTGGTATTTTCACAAGTTTGCCAGACACAACAGAAACCACTTGTTAGCATTCAGAAAGTATATTTCGGCTGGCTTGATCAGGATCAGAATCCTTTAAGACCACTTCTACTTTCAAAGAATCTACCACACCCAGTGCGACGAGGGTGAACACTGCCTCCCTTTGCCATTAAAATTCTCATCAATGGTCTTCCAGTTAAGCGGAACATAGGTTTTTAGCAATGTCTGGAGATACTTCTGGTCATTACAAGTGCAACTGGCTTTTGTAAGGGTGGAGGCCAGAGATGCTGCTAGATATCTTACAATGCACAGAACAGCACCCTACAACAAACAATTATTCAGCTCATGAATTAATGGTGCTAAGGCCGAGACACTGTGCTCAAGAAACTGGTGCCGAAACATACACTTAAATCTTCACTCTTATATTCATCTTCATCTTGTTCTTTTTCTTCCTCTTCCTCTTCTTCAGTCTCTTCTTCAAGCCTCAACCAGTACCAGGCCTCCCTGGGAACCTGAATATTCTGAAAATGTAGAATTATTCCCAATTAAACATAGCTGAATATAAGACTATTACAAGTATGTTCATGTCAACATAAATTCATTCTTTCAATGAAACATTTATTAAGTGCTGCTTCAAGAGTAAAGCCCTGTACTATGAACTCTGGGGATGCAAAACCCGATTAGAATATTGACTTCAAAATGCTGACAGTCTAGCAGGGAAAATAAGCTATGGGTATAAAATACATATAAGCTAGAAAATCTTAAGTGTTATGACATACATTCAAAATAAACTGCTATGGAAATATAGAAAAATGAGAGCACTTCTAGCAATCTACATATGAGGGAAATTTAACAAACGTTGAGATTTTAAACGAAGTAATTTTATTTTGAACCATCAAAATAAAAAAATAAAGCAAGATAAAGTAAAAATAAAACAAAACAGAATTTTACTTTTTTTATTACTTATTATTATTTATGCCTACAGCACCTGGTCTTCCTAGGTGATCTCCCATCCAAATACTAAGCAAACCCAACCCTGCTTAGCTTCCAAGATCAGACATCAGGCTTGTTCACGGTGGCATGGCTATAGACCATGGACTGTGGCTCCTCCGGAGTGTGAACCCAGGACCTTCTGCATGTAAAGCAGACGTGCTAATCACTACATATGGAACCACGTCCAAGAGAGAATTTTAAACGTCATTCAAATTTAAAGTAGTATTCTGCCGTGATCTTACTAGTTAGGGACACATGAGGTACTGAATACAGACTGAAAATAGGCTATTCTAGTTAGTCAAATATTCTGTTGAATAGAATTTCCACACATAGTGACTCTGACTAATCAATATTCAAATAAGCAGAGAACAATTATGTAAAATGTAAAAATGTATTCAATCCTCATTGGATAATTCAGACTACTCAGGTTCCTGTAGTGAACAAGTCATTATTTTGAGCATCAATGATCACAGATCAGTAGTACATGTTAAATGAAAGATTTAATGGGCAGAAGACTAGGTATACCAAACTTGGAGTGTTTTGTCTTGTTTTGGTTTTTAAAATACAAATACATGACAAATCACATTGGGCGCCAGAACACTTTATTACTAAACTGACAGCAGGGAAAAGGCTTGCCTTCTGAGTATCCAATTGTTGACAGGCTCGCTGGCTTCTTCTAAGATCTCCTTCTAGCTTCATTTCATCTTGCTTATTTTTAAGTCGCATTCTAATTGCAAGAAAAAATAGCACATTAAAGGCCTGTACTCTCTTTATCCATTTTTTATGCCCAAGGACCAGAAAACATAGCACGATAAAGAAAAGATGAAACCAAAAGGAGCTCAAATACAAAGTTTTACCGAAACTGTTCTGCAGCTTTTTCTTCAGTTTGCTTTTTCACATTAATCTTTCTTCTGTAGCTTTCTAATTTTTCCTCTGCTTTCCGTTTTAACAATGCCTCATGACCAATGCCACTTTTCCCTGTTCAAACAGAAAACTCCGATGAGAAACTTACTGACTTTATACTTCAAAACATGACAATTTAAATATTTACAGATTAAATGCAATTCTAATTTAAATATAATTATTCAAAATCATTTGACATGACAGGAGAAAACACTAGAGATTTTTTTAAACCCAAACACACAATTTGAGATCATTAGTCTGTGCTAATAAGATAGTAATACTATACAAATTTTTTTTTTAAATTGGGAAAACAATACCAACTGTCATTTTTTCATATAAATATGATGAACAAAAAAATATATTTTTTCTCTTCAATTCATTCAAAGGATTAAGAAAAACATTTAATAGATAAATCTGTCTCAGAATACTTCTAGGACATTTCAATCGACAAAAATACCTTTTTATTTTTAATGTTAATAACAATTTCCCCCCATATTTTTATGATTTAAATTTTATACTCACTAAACTTTTATTTTTACTTTAAAAAGTTTAGAAGCTTAACTAAGAAACATTTTACTGAGGGCTTCTTATGATAAGAAATGTAACAATGCCACATAAAAAATGTACTTATTAAGCAAATATATGTGCTAGATCTAAGCATGTTATTATTACTGGTAAATATCCCCAAAAATAATTACATACCTGTTTTGACATTGAGAGGAATTGGTTCAACAATACCATCTCCTAAAAAAAGAGAACAAAACACAAAATACATTAGAAATCCTTCTTCAAACTACAGGTAAGGATATTATGCAACTTTACAATGTTCTATACATATCCCTTCCCGTTCCAATGATATTCAAACTGAAATCTAAACATTAATACACTACAATCAACTATCTCCATTTGAATACCTAGTCCCCAATAAAGCTGACCCACATCTCCTATGTCACCTGAAGGCAGGGTTTTAAGAAGTTAAAAACATATATCCAAGAGGGTGACAGCCTTGGTAGGTGAAGATCAGAGCAATTACAATAAAGGGGGAAAGAAAAACAGCTTACAGAAGATACTAGAAATATATGGCCTCTATATCTTAACAGTCTCACTTCCTAAAACGAGAGGTTGAGAATTGAGCTTCTCCAACTGGCTGGTCAGTCAGGTGGCTGCCACAGATACATGACAAACAAGGCAGAGTCCTAACATCATCTTTAATGTTGCTTCATTGCCCTTTGGCCACTGTACTTCTCAACTCTTCTCGTCACCATTCTTAGCTGTTGCCTCCATTGTTAAGCTTTGTCCATATCAACTGTTAGTTCCTTCAAGGCTGATCTGGGCTGATAAGCAGCTCTTGATGGCAACATTGCCCTTTGGCCACTGTACTTCTCAACTCTTCTCTTGTCACCATTCTTAGCTGTTGCCTCCATTGTTAAGTTTTGTCCATATCAACTGTTAGTTCCTTCATGGCTGACCTGGGCTGATAAGCAGCTCTTGATGGCAATAAGATGGCCTGAAGTGGATATGGGAAGATGAAAGTTCTTTGTAACGCTTGTTAGCACATGAGAGACTAAGCAGCTTAAGTTGTTTTAATTTCTGTGCAGATGGACAAAGATTAAAGAGTTATCTCTGGTATTTATTGATAAATCACCATTTGGTGGTCAGAAACACCCATTACTTCCAGATGTGACTTACCACTCTTGCCAAGGGCCTGGCCACTTTTATATCCCATCTTTTGGAGCAAAGCAAACCCTTTGTTTTCACAGCCTAGTGCATTCTTCAACCCAATGTCACGTCTTTCTTGTTCTTCTTCTTTTAAACTCTTCTGCCTATTTTTCAAATTAGCTTCCTGCTGCTTTTCTTCTTTTCGACGAGCTTCTCGAATTTGCCTCAGCATTGGCAATCCCGGTCTGATATCTTCTCTGAATATGAGAAAAGGTTATTTTAGATGAGTACACGAAGTTTTCTTATGACTTCGATACTCACTTGACACTACTTAAATTTTCAGTGTTACTTTTCTGATCACCTTTGTTATCACCAATATTAAAACATTATCAGTGACTTCTGAGAAGGGCTGTTTAAGTAAAAATGATGAAGGCTGTTACCAGATTGTAAGAAACTAAAGAAAGTACAGTTGAAGAAATGAGACATAGTAATAGTTTTAGGCAGTGGGCAATAACAAAGAGCAAAGCTGAATAGTAGCTAGGAGAAACCATAAGATGAAATAAAGAAAAACTAAAGTTCCTTGGAAGAGGGGAATAAAAAGAATCAAGGGCAGAAGTAAAATGCTTAGCATTAAAAAGGAAGCAGCTCCTAGTACCTTTTATGAACATGTAGACAGGGTTTCCACAAAGCTATAAGACTAACTTTCAAACCTCATGTTTAAAATCAATGTCACCGCTTGAGTCTACATTAATGTCTCATATGTATGTGGATGTGAGGCATACACATTTACTTACTGGACGTTAATGAAGGAATCAGACATATAGTCCTCTTCTTCTGCCATGTTCAATTTCTTACAACAAAGTATCTACAAATCAAATAGGATAAAGTAACAATTACTATTTTTTTTAGTTTAACCAAAATGGAAATAAACTTTTCTGTATCCCCAGCCATGACCTTTCTCCAGAGCTCTACTCCACATTTCTGTGCCCTTTTGACATTTTTGGGTGGAGCTCTCAAACTCAATAACTCAAACAATGCATTCACTTCTACCCCAAACCTCCTTCATCCCCTATACTTTCAAATTAATGTCACTACTCTACCCATTCCTGACCTCTCATAAACCTCTGTCATTTCTTCTTATACAATATCCCTCATAGGCATTTTTGCCTATAGTTGTGAGCACTGCTTTATTCAGGCATTTCTTTCTCACTGGAACTATTATAACTACTTCCTAATTGGTCTCATTGCCTTCGGCTTCTCCTCTTCCAGTCCATCTTCTACACCCTCTCCAGAGTGTTTTTTTAAGCCAGGTCATGTTACTTGCCTGTTTCAAATTCTTCATTAAACTTTACCCTGCAGGCAGTGAAGAACCAGTCACTTTAACACTGCAGCAGAAGTCCTTCATAATCTGGTCAACTCTCCTTTAGGATTCATTATTCAAGCTGCAGGGGCTTCTCATTGCCCTCTGAACATAACGCAGACATTTCTTTCCTCCTAGGCCTGGGCTGCCCTCCGTCACCAAAGCTGTCCTGACCGCTCCAGGCCTCCCTCTGCAGAACTTCATATTCAAGCTGCTCATTTGGAGCTTGTTAAATCCTCATTTATATGGAAACATTCTTGAGGAGAGCTTCCATCCACAATAGCTAAAGTCATTTAATTATTGCTCCATAAAGGGATAACAGGATTATTGAGTAAAGTGCATTTCAAAATTTATTGTGTATATGAATTGCCCCAGGATGTTCTTAAAATTCAGAGTTCGATTCTGAGCTGGAGCCTGAGGTTAGGCATTTCCAATAGGCTCCCAGGTGATGTTAATGCTTTCCTTTGGGAACCCGGCCCTCTGCCCGCCATGTGGTTCTAGTAGAGGTTGGCAATCTCAGTATTCTATCCTCTCTTGGGCATAAGATGGCCAATTATAGTGCCTTATGTCCCTGCAACAGGGGAGGGGATGACCTAATCAGGGCAAAGAAGCATCTTTCCTTACATGATATGGATATATGAATTGTGGGGAAAGAAACTCTCTTCATTGGGGTTTCTGAACTGAGTAGATGAAGCTAGGCTGTAGATGGCCACCTTGGCCATATGAAGAGATCGTGTTCTATAGGATGAAGCCAGAGAAAATGGACAAAGCAATAAGTCTCCAACCTTAGTTCCCAAGACCCTGATTCCTGTAGCTCTTTCTTTGATGTTGTGACCTGGCATTCTTCCCAGCTACGTAGGCTAATAAATTTCCTCATTTCTTAAGCTTGTTTGAGTAGGGATTCTGTGAACTACAACCAAGAAGTATTATTGTACTAGTTTTTAATATTTTTAATATATATCTTCCCAACTAGGCTGTAAACCACAAAGTTTTCTATATCTCTGCTGCCTACCACTGTGTCCCAGGCATCATAAACTCTTAATGTTTAGCAATGATGAGAAAAAAGGTCTTTAATAATATTTGTAATTTTGTAATAATAGAATATGTTTTTTCCTGTGTCTTATTTTTTAAAAAAACCTTGATGTAAAGATATCATCAATATGGAGAACCACATAAAATAAATGCACAGATTTATGAATTATTATCAGGCAAACACTCTTCTAACCATGTGGTAGCCTCCCAGATGGTCGCCAATGATTCTTGCCTCTCGATTTTCAACGTCCTCGTGTAGTCTCCCTGCACAATGGGACATTGTGAAAATGATGGAATATGACTCCTCCGTCATAAAAGACACTGTAGCTCTTAAGTTATATCACTCTAATGCTGAAGTTAGTTAGATTATTCACTCTGAAGGAAGTTGGCTATCATGTAGTAAGGACACAAGCAGTTTTATAGAGAAGTCCACATGGGAGGAACTGAGACCTCCTGTAGACAACCAGCACAAATTTGGGAGCTACGTGAGTGAGCCACCTTGGAAATGGATCCTCTAGCACCAGTCAAAATTTCAAATGACTCAGCCTGGGCTGGCATCTTCACAACTTCTTAAGAAACTCTGAGCTAAGCTAAACCAGTAACAAATTCCTGGCCCACAGAAACTGTGAGATAATAAATGATTATAGTTATTTGAGTTGCTAAATTTGGTGATAATTTTGTTGTACAGCAAAAGATAATACAAATGATCACCCTATCAGAAGACAGAACCTTGTCAGCCACCCCAGGAGCCTTCTTTATTCCCTACCCAATCACACTGTTTCCAACTACCTCCTTTTCTTTATAGTTTCATAAACCATGGGTGCATCCTTAAACATTAGTTTAGTTTTGCTTATTTTTCTTTTTATTATAATATAATAAATTAGAAATGTGGAAGATTATATACAGCATTTGTGGTAATTCACCCACTGTCTCTAAACCTCAGATTCATTTGTAATAATAATATTTTTACACGTAATGGTTTAGCACTTACCCAGTATACCACGCATTTTTATCCCATTTAATCATCATTAACCATTTTACAGGTAATAACACAGTCCTGCTTTCTAGTTGGAGAAATTAAGGGTCAGTATAGCTAAATGACCTGCTCAACACCACAACGGATGCAGGTTTTAGGACTCTGGCTACTGGGAATAAGATTATTTTTAAGGAAACCATTGAGCTCCAAAGTGCTAGGCAGATCTGAATGGG